ATATTTATTTTCAATCGAAAACTTCTTCTTTTATTAAGGGCTTTCGCATAATTCTGCCAATTTCACGTGCGTAGCCAATACATGGTATGAATTATTTTATAAAATTAATTTTGTAAATAATATTTTCAAGTATAATGTTTCACTTTCTATTACAGTTTAATATTACAAAAAAATACACATATGCGGATTGTTTTAGTAGATATCCCATATTAAATTGTCATTTACAATTCAATTTTGTCAATTTCATTCTTCTTTTATTAATGGTATATCTGCGCATTTCACACAATTCTGCCAAAGTCAAGTGAATAAATTAATTTCTACATGTAAAATGAAAAAGTAATGAATGAAAGATTAATTAAAACATTGTCTGTATCATTGTGGTTTGTATTGACAAAAAGTGAATTGGTGTTGCAATATGAAAATCAAACATCGATTGGAAAATAATCGATTAATTCACTATATGTAATAGAACTGCAGTAACATTTATTGAATAAAAAAAACTTTAATATACTTTTAGTTAATTTTGGTGCAATTTTGCATTTTTCCTAAGTTTTACGGACTACTACGGTTGTTGATTCAACAATGCCCAAATAAATAATATATATATATATTATTATTATTATGTAATTTCCAATGCCCGTAATTGGAAATGTTATATGAAAACCTAATGAAGTCCCATAAAGTCACAATATGAACTATCCATGTAGTTTGATGAAGTCCGATGATATTCAATGAAGTTTAATGAATTCTGTTTAAATGGATTGAAGTTACTAAAGTCATATGCAATCATCATTTAACTTTAACATTTAATTTTTAGTACAAACAAATATATAAATTTAATGATTATTTTTGTTGTACATTCTTTTGAAACGGAGTTGTTTAAAGTAAAGTATACACCTCTGGATTAATGCTCGTCCTAGGCTTGGACTGATTGCATACCTCACTTATTACAGTTTGTTAGTGACCGAAAATGAGTCAAAATTTTTCTGTTCACGACCTACCAATGTAGGTACCGTTTTATTTTACGGAATCATATTATTCACTTTCATGCTACTTTATCTCACATAATAACATTTATTTTGCGAATTAAAACTCGGTATAAACAATAAAATAAACCAATACCATTCGAATTTTGAAACTTAACTCTTTAAGCTTGACGTTATCTTTAGTCGACGCCAGGATTTATAGTATTTCATCTGACTTTTTTGTTAATTAAAAGACTTAATTATATCGGATTTACGCTTTAAATATTAAGCATGTTTAAAGTTGAGTGCTTAATAAAAGAATTGGGTATATGACGATTTTCTGAAAACTAATTAATTAAAATAGTTGTTTGATACATTATAAACACACTGTCAATATATTACATGAGAATCTGTTCTATTTTCGATGAATATAATTGTTTAAATCTACAGATTCTAAGAAATAAACTTTTATTAGATTATTATCTAACATGATGATAATAGTACGAAACTTATTTTTATAGTGTCAAATACCCATAATGATAAAAATATTAATTATAAATTCGCGTTTTGGGTATTTTCCCTTATAGCTTAACACTTAGGTATGCACTTTCTTAATGTAGCTAATATTCGGGTGTTTCGACCGTATTTTAAAACGTTCGAATAAGAATATAATAGATTCATTACGTACAGAAATGATAAAAAATGAAGGAATGAATAATCATTAATCGTCTCCCGTTTAACTAATAATTTCATTTATTTTATTCTGGTAACACTAATGACAGCTGTTTGGTTCGGCTGCGATTTGGCTCCGATTACGTTTCAGTTTAGTAAACGTTCGTTTGATAATTTACGTTAGCGGAATGCAAATTTACAGCAAAAATCGAAACGTAACCGTTACAGAAACGCTATTGATGATCGATCGTTGTAAATTAGTAGAATTGGCCCCCAGCACTTTTTATGCGTTATAGTGTGAGGGGTTCGATACTTAGGCTAATGAATAAAAGGCTGATTAGGCTTGAGAACTTGATTAAATAAAGAATTACAAAAAAAAAATTCTGTGTTTTCCGTAATAGGTAGAATTTGGTAGATATTTCACGTTTACATGTTTCTTATTTGAATAATAATAATGTATACTTGATTTATAAGATTAAATATTATAATATGATTAAATAATCATGTTCTCGCCGGATGATTTTTTTACGAACTGACATTAAAGAGCATATTGGATTACTCAAAAATTCAAATAACGAGAAGCGAATAATAAAAATAAATGATGTTGAAGATCAAAGACAAAATGTTTGCATGCGGAAACCTAGGACGAAATAAACGGTTTTTTATTACAATACCGGGGGCCGGGGTTAAAAAAATCCTTCAGATTTTTTTTTTAATTTATGGGTAAAAGACATTAAAAAAATTAGGCATAATTTACTCACGCTTAAAATATTTTATATAAAATGTGATCATTTAATGGTATCATGAGTTAATTTAAAAACAGGTTATGTGATTGCTCTATTCAACTATTTTAATTGTATTATTTAGGTATTCATACGAACTGTTTTTATATTTTTGTTTGTAATTGTTCTGATGTATATTGTATTTTTCTTTTTTTTCTTTTTCTGGTGCATACATGTTTTTTTGTTCTAGAATTCCACTTTACGATACCTATGTTCACTCTGATTGTTACCCATAACTATATCTAACCGTGGAAACCTTTTATTGGCCATCTGTAACGCAATATGATGTTTACATATTAAAATCATGTGCTGTTGGTAGTCCCGGATATATATAAATAAATATTCTTAAGTTGTTTGTTACAGTTTTGTTTTGTTAACCTTTAATGAATCAAGTTATTTAGCTTAGTTAGCCTTTTATTCATTTGCCTTAACATCGAACCCGTCACAACTGTAATACTGAGATTACTCTTACGTTTACCGAGGCCTTTAATAGAAAAGACAGTCCTAGTCAAGCACAATAACAGTTAAAATAGGTCTCTTCTCAGAAATGTACTTTTTATTTCAAAAAAACTTATATTTTCTATTCGTTCACCAACATTTTAAGTGAAGGTCAGATATCTATTAAAATATTTAACAATATCACCGTATTTTACTGAGAATCCTATTAATTACGTTAAAATGATGTTAGGGCTTATGGCGGCGTTATTTTTCGGTAATGAATCGGTAGGTTTTGAAGCAAATCTAATAATAAATGTTGAGTGCCGTTCAAATTGTATTATTGAGGTATTTAATAAGGTTTTCAAAGGTTTTTAGATTATTTTCTGTGTCTTGATTTTTAAATTTCATTGTATAAAAGTATTTATTAAAGATTTATATTTATAATTCACAGAAAAACTATCTGATTTTGAATTCAAGCAAAACATTCTATAGTATAGAAGAAAATTCTTTAAAATGAGGTGTTATTTTTAGAAAAATAATTGCTAAAAGCTTTTACGTAGATGGATTCCAAGATTTCTTTTACGCGCATTGGTTTTATTTTAATACCTTATAATAATTACCTTGACGTAATCTCCTGATTTGATACTCACATCACAGTACTCAAAAATTCACTAGATCATTATCTTGTGCCTTTCAGCATATTACATTTAAAGTGATATAAATTAACTAAATTTAACCTGTATGCAAAATCTTAATAGATTGTGGATAAACACCATAAAATTCAGTTGCAATATTTTACCAACACACTCATACATAAATTGTATAAATGATACAATAAAGGAAGAGTCAATATTTCAAATGCCTGTTATATTGAGAAAAATATGACAGCGACAGACAACCCTAAATGTATTATATTTGATCAATTTTGTATTCATGATGCTATACTGGAATATATTCTTAATAAAAATGCTTAGAAAAACCATTAGACAAAGGGAATTTTCAAGCATTTTTCATTGAGAAATATGTACTTAGATCATCATATTTAACTATGCCGCCGAATAAGGCATCAAATAAATATCATGTCAACTTCCGTTCACCCTCTTTATTGAATAAAACATTCTTGAAAGGGTTATAAAGCTCGTTAATTTCAACGCGACCCATCTCAAGGGAAGTGAAATGTCGAAAAACAGGAAAATGACTTTCATAACTCTTAAACAAGACTATTATATTATTTTCGCCGTCTTTAAGAGTAGTCAATTGATGAAACACTTGACTTGTTAGTGAAAGATTATGAATTCTAATAGCACGATTGATTTAAAAAAAGGTATGTTCTAAGTTTGAATGAACCGATTGAAGTGCGGTTTTTTTATTAGTAAGCTATGCTCATCGAGGTGATTATTCTTATGTTTTATAAATCTAAATTTATTAAGCTCACAATAGTTATTTAAGATACGAGTTCGGAAAGTAAGGTTTTACGAATAAGGGCCAAATTGAAAACACGAGCTTAGCGAGGGTTTTCATTGGCACGAATTCGAAAAACCTTTTACGCTCAAGTTTCTTACAACATTTTTCAATGCTTTTTGCGAGGAAATAAAACAAATATATAGGTTAATAAAACTAAGTATGTATTAAAGGTAAAAATTATTTTTTAAAATTAAACGAGATATTTGAACATGTTTTCATGTCATACATTTTTATTTGAAAATATTCGTTGTAGGCTCCTTGAAATACTTTTGCCTCTAAAGTTTGACATAATTTCATCAATTTTTTTTTAAATTACTTTGGTGCTCAGCCAAAAAATACTTTTAAGCACGTGTGCAGTAAAGGATTTCAGTAGATTTTTATTAAACACGTGTTTAAAGACTCACTTTCGGTGTTTACAATGGATTAAAAAATAGCGCTTTATGAGCAACTGCATTGAAAAATAAGTTACAGTATCATATTCGTAATTTAGATAAATGTATACAATTCAGAAATAAACCTTACCGAAACTCTTAAACATGTGATGTGAGCGTAATATGGACCAAATATATAATGTAACTTTGCAAAGACGAGTACTTATTTTTGATTTTACTTATAGCATTATAATAAACGAGAAGGTGATTATGGATATTAAGTAACTTTCACAAAGGTTGGTTAGAGGATGGGTAAAATTAAATTTATTTTATTTATTTATCATGAGGAATATTTGCTGAATGATGACAACGCCGGTATCAGTAGGTTAATTTTGATATCTTATAATTTTTTTAATATGAAATAAAAGTAATTAATTATCTTTCTTTAATACTTTATCATCGAGGGCCTATAATGTCCCCCGCTGGTGCACAGAGCTTCTTATAAAGGAATAATACTTATTTATAGCAACAAGTTTTTTTTTTTATTAAATGAGGTCTTGAAGCAAACATAATTTAATTTAAAAAAATATTAACGTTGTAGGTAACCGGAAAATTGATTTCTTTTTAAACTTATTCACTTATTTTCTTTTTCAGCTAGGATGAAAGAGTTTTCCCAAATTTATTTATTTTATTTTTCTTTGGTAACTTTAAATAAAATGCTAAAATGTAGCAACCAAAAAAATAATCAAAGAAGTTTAAAAATGATTAGGTACATTAATGGAACGAAAACTAATTACAAAACGAAATCCTCAAGTACCTAAAATTAAACCAAAATAGAAAGGCGCTAAAATCAAATTCATTAGGGAAAACAGAATTAAATGAAATTGAAGCTTCATATATATATGAACTTAAATGATAACTGAGATACATTTTCGTTTAACTATCTATAACTTCTACGAAAAGTATCAGCTGCAGTTATTTACCATATTTTAAGGTCATTTTATTTAATTTTCGAAATAATTGCAAGACAAAATGTAGCTTATGACTTCATTTAATATAGGTAGTAATTATATTATGACTATAATGATATAACAAATCCAAATCAAACATAAGAAATAGTATAGAGTAGTACAAAAAAATATCAAATATACATACCGACAGTATTGAACTATTATTGACAAAAGTGTGCGACGTCTCAAGATAGATTACTTAGATAATGTTCAAGATGAACTGAGATAAACCTTGTAACTTAATAAAAATGTTGATTCGAAAATTGTAATGATTAATGAAGAAGAAAAGAATAGTTATTATTCAAAGGATATTCTTGAATTACAAAAATAATCATTAATATTTTGGCCAAAACATGTAAGCCCACCAAAAGCTATTGTCCATGACACACACGACTTATATTGCCATTTTATTTTTATGCTACACGAGCTTACTGTGGCCGGAAAAGGATGCAATAAAAGTGGAATAAAATTGATTTGTTTTCGTTTTTAACATTACAATGTCCATTTAAACCTTTTTTAACAGGAAATTTTATTAAAATGTGTTTTATACAATTTAACGTAAAAAATTTATAGTCGAGTTTTTATTTTCAAAATTGGCCTTCAGAAATATGCGACGTGTTTATAGTTTTCGTTCGCAAATTAATCGAACTCGGACGCCAACTTAGAGCGAACATATTTTAGCGAATATAATAAGTCGCTACAGTTAAACATATCGTTATTTATTACAGTTCAATTGTCAAATAAGCGATATTAGTGAGTTTCCTAGCGATCGAATTTGACAGCTCAGTTCGACAGTGAACTTTGCGATCGCTAATAAACGGTCTATATCAATATCGAGATTGCACGATCTTGTCTATTTCATATTGGACGACAACGAATTAGATAAGAACAGAAGGTCACAAGTTGTGCGAGAAAAAAAGTTTTTATGCTTTTAACTGTTTCAAACTATTGAGATTATTGTAAAAGTGCTGCATAATTCCCTCGACGACAAAGTGACTCATATATTTATTAATGTGGATTGGTTTTCAAAATTGTTTTTTTAATTGAATGCCTCAAATAGTGACATAAAATTGTTACCTATATTTATTTATAATATATGAAAAACTTCCACCAAGATTTTGTTTACTTCGAAAAAAATACTATGTAAAATATTATGCGACATAATATTTTTTTCATAGTGAACAAAATCGCCTTAATTATTATTAAGATTTTTGTCCTGTTAACATTATTTTTTATACTATTTGTATAAAAACACTAAAAATAATAATCAACTTCAAAAAAGTAAAATATGAATTTCTTTTGAACTCGATTGAAGTCACCAGATTTTCTTCGGTCTTCTTTGCCATTGCCTAAGTGAAATTACTTATAAAAAGATCAAAAGAATTTGAGGGTGCTTACCTAAAGTCTCGGAAATTTAAACATTCTTAATGCTTTTTAAAAAACCCGGGTTACATGGTTAAAACTACATTGATCTGGATTGAAAAAGTAAATGTTAATTTTTAACTAATATATTCAAGCATCAAAGATTTCTCACGTTTAAATGAAAAAGTATTTTATTGAAAAAAATAAATGTGAGTGTATACATATCTACTACAAACAGAGTAATAACATATTGAAAAATGGTTCTTATTTGACGAGTGCCAAAATACTAGGTATAGTTTCTACCAAATTAAAAAAAACATCTTACATCATAAACTCGAAGAACCTTTTATGAGTTCCTTGTAAGTCTTTATTTAATTACAGAAGTCAATACTTTAAGTAGTTCGAAATCCTAGACCAAAATTATGTGAATCCTTTTTTTATCGGCGACCTTATACACTAATATTTTCTATACAACACATGTCGTCCATCAAATAATTAGTAATGTGTGGCGGCCTTGGAATCTTGGCCTATAAATAGCGGCTTGTTCAAGCCCTTCCAGGTCAAATCCTTTCGAAAATAAAAGCTGAAAGTAGATTACGACTAAATGAGCTTACAACTCGTATAATAAGGTATTTAAAGAACTTGACGGCTTAATTCAAATGATAAAAATCAAGACGTGTATTATGCATTTTTGTTGCTGAAAATAAGGATCAACATTACTTTCATCATTTGTCGCTTAGTTATGTTGCTAGAGAAGTTTAGTCAAAAAAAAATATAGTTGTGGTTTTGAGTTTTAGAAATTTAATGGCGCTCTGGTTAGCGTATTTATTCTGTTACGAAGAGTTTAAAAACTTTCGTAAGAGCCGGCATTGGGTGACCAAAAAGTTATTATCACGAGCTCCTCCATACTTCGGAAGGCACACACTAGGCCAGCGTTGCCAGATTTTTTTTTTGCCTTTTGAAAGAAAAAAAGCGGGATTCTATCGTCAAAAGCGGGTTAAGTAAAAAAAGGTATACAATCAGAAGTTTTCACAATAAGCAGTTTTAAAAAACGCTAATTTAAAATCGTACAACGTAACAACGCTTCAAAATTTGAAGTCGTTATTTCCACCTCTAATTATCATTATGCGCCGGGTGGGCGGCCATTCCACACTTGTTTATGGCACCCGGCTGCGCTTCCTCAGCACGCAGCACGCACGGTCGAGTTATCCCCGAAAGCGGGACCAAACGTGTCATTTAATTTTATTTTTTTGACAGCAGTGGGCGTCTCTCGGCTGAAATGATGATGATGATGGTACTACTTTTAAGATCTGATAATTGTTTACGCCTACTTATTATCAGTCAAGAGATGTGAATTTTTGGGAAGTACCTAAATAACATAAGACGATTAAAGAGTACTTTCAATAAGCGTACTTGTATAAATAGGTAATATTTTAATATGATTTCATTTCAAGAATTACACGGTATTCTACTTTGCACACAAAATCCTTTGAAGATTTATTTATTTATAAGAGTTCTTACGATCTTAATAGGCTTACTCCTAGATCGAATATAAGAAATAATCTTCTAAAGATGTAAATACACAGCAGCACATCAAACAGTTACAAGAGACAACTTTTCACATTTAGGTTGAACTGAACGATCAACAGATTTAGGCTCAAATACTACTATAAAAAGAAGTTTGGCAGAAATCTTTACTATTTGGATCTTTAGAGGACACGTAGGATAATTATAATGTTATACAATAATTCTAAAAACATAACAAAAAGGAAATCACATCATATTTTCTACAAGATGGGAATAAAACGATAAACTAAAAGTAAGTTAAAGAATATACAGCCTCTTCGACCATAGTTTATATAAATACTCAACGTTCTGTGATTTCTTTTTATAGGTAATAAAATTGCCAATGAAATTAGTGATGTTTCGCAGAACCATACCAAAACAGACCAGACCTCACCAAACAATAAAATACAATTATACATATAAACGGATACATCTATTGTACCTAGATTTTTCAACAGTTCCCGCCAAAAACCATATGGAGGTGCTTACTGCAGACTGGGAACTAAGATCATACAGCCATTGTCGATTGTATAAACGCCATTAATATTATAGGCCAAACTAGACCGAAAATCAGTTGTCATCCTTTTATTATTACATATAATTTAAAGTGACGAGCTGCAATTTATTTAGACTATAACTTTGCTTTGGTAAGCTTTAAAGAGCATGTGTATTCCAGATGTCGAATTAACTGACTAGAATACAGAACAGTCATTGAGTGAAATTTGATATTACTATGCTGGTCATTTGTGCATTTCTCGATTCCAAATTACGTATTCCGTACCCGATGAACCTTAACACTGCTCGCTCGTAAATTTATCATCATTGAATGCGATATACTAATTAGAACGTGATTTAACCTAGTAATTTATTATAGAAGCGACTAAATAGTGTTGGTTTTACAACACTATCAACTTGACCAAAAATATTTATGTGACCTAAAATTTATTATCTCGATTTTTCTCAACCTTCAACCTTTAAGTTATAATATTTTATTAACTGTCTTGATGGCATGGTGATTAGAGCCTTTGTTTTGTGATTTCCAGGTTACCAAATTTCGTTTTGCAAAATTGGCAGAGCAGTAAAATAATATATTATAAGAATGGACAACGGGAAAAGTGTTTTTTGGATTTTATCACGAGATGCGAATATTTCACCTTTTTCTGAAATTTCCCGGTATCCATTATGTTCAGGTTGGCTCCAAATACTCCAATGAATTGTTGAAACATTTGAGTAAAAAGTATAACAGCACATGAACCTCATTCGAATTCTTAGAAATAGTGACATTAGCTTGGCTGACGTCACCATTACTATCACCAGGATCACCCATTATGTTAAAAATGATAATTCACTTTATAGCAATCAATTTTATTACCTCACAAATCAACTTAATAATACCACTTAACAATTAAAAAAAAAAAACAATAATTTGGTACTCACAATTATTCACCCCTCTCTCGGCGCCTTCCAAAAAGGTAATGTCACAAAATAAGCTGTCCATTTTTAAATACACTCCTGGAAATACAATCATATGTCAAATTAATATTTTGAATTTGTTATTTAGTAAATGTTGTGAAAATTCATTATTAAATTAATTACATTTTTAAAACATTATTGCAAGTTTTATTTCTATTAAATTCAAAATAAAACAATCAAACTTACTAATAATATCAGGAAGTCTGACGCTAGATGGCGTATCCATCGTATGACCGAATAATTAAAAATTCATTTTCACATTTACTAGCGTAATTGTAAGAAATTGTTATATTCTGCAGCTTATAAATAATGATAATAATTTAGAATGATTTTAACAGACGAACATTTGTGATTTAACAGCGTATTAAAATTATGAGGCATATACCTACTTTGAACTGCGTCAATAGTAAATTATCTTTTATCAAGAAATTATTTAAACACAGCACAGAAAATAAACTTTTAATTAACATAAGTAATTACTCTTAAAATAATCATAAAATCAGTTAGAATATTATTTTAAAATAGGCTTTAGCATTTTATTATTTCTTGTGACTCTGGTCTCGCGCCGACAAGTAATAGACTCTTAATATCAATAATAAACATAATAACTCAGTTTAGATTGAACGAGCCAAATCCCTTTGTCTTTATTAACAACAACAACTAATTAATTTTTCGTAACAATCCGGAAACTTTATTTCAGGTTAATTGTTACCTAACATTTACATACGTTTTAATTATTTTTTTTTATTTTGACTTTAATGAGTTTCTGTTTGATAAAAAATATGCGTCGTTTTCAGAAGTGAAGTATCATGCAAGCATTTTATTTTAATGTATTTTTCCAACGTTACAACGTAAACTGAAGAATAAAATTACTTCTTACTAGACTCTATGGGCTAGATTCCTTTGCTCTTGATCGAATAAACAACATAAAATGTTACCCGCGTACTTTTTAATAAACTTTAATGTTTGACCACTTGTGCAAATTTAGACGGTGAATTAAAACAAAGTAAATTTAAAACTGAGAAAATGTTTTCGCCTGAGGAACAACAGATTGAAATTTGTCTTCTGAAATCCAATTTAGAAAAAATTGGAGACGACCTGTTAGTTCAAGTAAGGATTTCTTAATTACAAAATATAGCAACCATATTTAAAATAAAATAGTGCTTTTAATAACAAAATATAAAAATAAGTAAGCATAAAATGCATTTTCAAAATATATTGGAATGCATTATATTGCCACATTAAAATATGCAGTTCGGTATGATAGACATTATTAAAAGGTATGAAATATATTCGGTTTTAGGATAGGTAACTATTTTTGTCACAATTGAATAATTTAATTACTAAATGTTATCAATATTTTTCATGATACAATGTTATTATGTAATTAAAAATTAAAATGTATTAACTTAATGTATGCCATTAATTTTATTTATATAGTCGTCGATATTCTCTGAAAAAAAACATATATTAGCGTTGTAAATAAAAAAATATATATTTATATTTAAAATATGTTCTATACTAATATTATAAAGAGGAAAGATTTGATTGTAATTTGCATGAAAGATCTTTTGTGACTAACCATTGAGCAATATATGCATGTTGCCTAATATCTGTTAAATTTTCTCCTAGAATTCTGCATTGCCTGCCTTGGACGCGGAAAATGAGCAAAAATACAGAGAGACTATGACGGCGCTGCAAGTAGCTCGCTCTCTTAACGCTGAGAGGGAAAGGTTAAATCTGGAAAATGGTAACATAATAATTTATAGTACTATAGGTATATATATATATATTCATGACGTTATTCTTAGACGTGTACCTTGATACATAGTGAGCTATGAAATTAAAATATAATTTATTACTTAGCTTATATTTTTACAGTATTAACACTTTTCATATAATTATTCCCTTCCCTATTTTAACATAGAAACATAGAAACAGAATATATACAAACATTAATCATAATCATATAAAAAATGGCAAAATATTTTTTATCTATATACACATTTTTTGTCAATATACCTTTCCTGTGGATAGTTATATGCCCAGAAACTTATATGAAAAAAATAAATGTTAAACTAGTTATCCAGCAGCGGCTTCGTCCCCAGTGTTTACATGTTTCCTTTATATTGACGACCTCCGACGAGTGGTTCTCACGCCGGTTTCAATTTGTCGCCATCTCTGAGGTCCCGGGTTCGATTTCCTCGTCGAGTCAACGTAGAAAATGAACTTTTCTATATTGTCTCGCGTCTGAGTGTTGTGGTACCTTCGTTGTTTCAGATATAATGTATCTGATGTTGTTTAATATTTAATAAAAAAAAAAAAGTAAACTTATCCCTAGAGTACCATTTGGTGGGATAAAGCCTATATTATGTTAATCCATACACAGAATTGTCCATTTACCAAATTTAATCTAAACCCGTTAAATCGTTTTTGCATGAAATAGTAAGATGATTCACGCAAAGTTGCGGGAATACTATTACAACTTAATAAGCTATCACTAAACAACAAATAATACGTTGTTACGCCGGTTATTAAATGGCTCAGTAATAATTTGGATTTAGTATACAATCAACATTTTTCCGGTCCGTTTAAAATCTTATCGTGCATACCATCATCCAGTTCATCGAGCTTGAATAACGCTTTAGGAGTGTAGAGTTCCCATAATATTATATCATTTGAAAGGAAAACATTTCAGGCAGCATAATTAATTAGTAAATAGCACAAAACAAATATATTTAATCCACCAGTTAAGTAATAGAAATTTTTTTGATACATTTTTTGCTTCAAATGAATAAGAAATGGCTTGAGATAATAGGCATTAAGAGGAGGAATGGGGTTCGCTATGTCACAGCTAAGTAGAAAATTTTCAAAGGTGTTACTGCATGCGACATTTTAACTCGACGTATTTGCCGCAATTTATTTATTACGCAACAAATAAAAAGATACGTGTTTAATATTCTTCAACAATATAACTCTCTTACACACAAAGAAAGATTAATCATGCTCTCTATTGGGTAATTGCTGCGCCAAAGAAACGTGTAATAACAGGAAACCCTCAACACCTGAACCTTGATATTAATATTAATGTTTCTTTTGAGAGTTGAGCCAATTAATATCAAGAAGTGTCAAGTGAGGTTTGACACTTTAGCCAAAATTACTTTGATGATATAAATATACAGTTAACGGGGGTTTTAATTATTTTTGAAATGATTCAATAAAGTTCATACAGACATTCGATTCGATGTATAAAACTTCATCTGTTAAGTTTAAAATTGATTTCATAATTTAGGTCAATTTTAATATAACCTTATAATCTGTTGACAGACAACTCTGTCTGTACCTAAAATTTAACATTATTATCAACTACATCATCAGCATCCTCCTATTGATTTTCATAACCACACCTAATTATGTGCGGTGAACAGACATTGCCTACGAATAGAGTCTGACAGGGAGCTAGAACCCACCATGCAGGTTGCGGATGTTATTGCGAATTGGTAAATTTATAAGAGATGCAGATGCAGCCAGGACCAACGACTTGACCAACATCTAACGCCACCTCCATGCGATTCGTGCGAGATAATATTTTTTTATCACTAATCATATGGCGGGCCATTGCAAATGTTACCAATTCAAAATCTGGTTATTAGTAAATGGTATTTTTTACGTGCAGCGAACAAGTAAAATACTTCATAGTAAATTTAGATGGTTCCGATTTCAGTGATTTTTTAGAACAACCTGTATTATTCTATGGGCCTATTTTTCTCGCAATTTCGCTCATTTAAATTATACTCTATGTATAGTTTCCCGAAACTATAAGAGTTTTTATGAACATACCAGTATGTATTTCCGATGATTAACTTTATCCCTTAATGGTTATTATTATTTGTAATAGAAATTTAACTTTATATTTTGTTTGTTAAATTTGTGTCTTTTCGATACAAACTAATAAATTATTTAATTAAGGAATAAAAAATCTTTTATCTACACTCAAATCGACAAATTCGAATTACGAATTCAAAGACGATTCTATACATACGCACTTTAAAAACGCATATACTTACATAAATTTAAAAATAAAACTCATTATAGTACCGCTTTCTTTTTTTTATCATTAAACTAGTCTATGGTTTTAGGCTGAATATGAAAAAAATGGCGCATGCATGCGTAGTTTGAACTTAATTTCTCGCGCTTCCCATACATTTTTTTGCCGTTCGTGTTTTGTATTCGGGATTCCAAAAGTAACTTTCTTGTAACCTACCTACTTTGTTAAATTTTCTATGTGTGAGGATAAAGTAGTGTATGAAACTGCATATAACTTAGCTATTAAAACACTCGAGTCAACCTATTATCGACTATATATATAACAGACTCTCGTGTTTTAATACCCCTTCTTATATGAAAGTTGCATAAACTACTATATCTCGCAATTTAACAAGTCATTCTACTTACTTTTATAATAAGAATCAAAGCTTTTAGTGTATGTCTGTTGGATAACAGCAACCAAATACTTAGATTTATATTACAGCAATATTTTTTTTATCTTTTGGCATATATCTTTTTATTCATAAGTCTGTGGCTTTGATATTCAAAGAACGTAATATTCATATTATAGAAATCGTCGCACCAGTTCATAATTTATACACAAGCGAATATTGAAGATATTTGATTGGCATAAAGTAATTTACTTATTAAAGATGGATGTTGTGTTTCCCGTTAGAAAAAAATAAGTTACAATTATTGTTATCAATACCAAAATAAAATAAGTACCTACTAAATTGTCAGTAACTTTTTTTCATAAAATATTTGCATAAATGTTGTGAAAGATTAATAATTTCAAAATAAACAATAAAGAAAATTATTATAAAAGTAAATATCCCGTGCCTCCGACGATACTTGAATTAGAATTTTCAGACAAAGGAGGACAGATCCTTAAAGGTCAGATCACCAAAGCCTTACTGATCATAGTGGTTTTAATAAAACCTATTTTCTTCATTATTGTTATATTTGTCATTGCTTGGAAACAATATCTACGTCGGATGCTTTTTAAGAGCAGCGCAAATTGTGCGCGAAATAGGAAACTGTAATTTATGATACCGCTCGCTGTCAACAAGGCACGAAATGTAGCATAAAGTTTCACTAGGAATCTCACAAAATACATTGTACAAAACACATTGCATTTAAAATATAAATTCTTGTTTCTGCTGAAAAACGCATCGTCACGTTTTCATATTTTTTTTTTGTCTAAATTAATAACGGTTTTAATTCACTCCCACTGTTTATAATATGGAATTTATTACCATGCCTGGATTCTACTGCCTTAAAACGGTAAGTAAGTACCGAACAGATTTTCATCCTGTCCGGTAATTTCCAAGCAAATGAATATTTGGTAAAGCCTCTTACACATGCCTAAACCCGAAACGACACCTTATCGTGTCACGATACGGCATCGCATCGCAGAAATCTACGACGTACTACGTAAAAAATTACGGCACGACACATCGCAACGTGCCATGTTACTCGATACGACATCGTGTGGTAAAAACTCACAGCTCTCAGTGCACTCCTTTGCCAGATTAAAAGATGAGAGAAGGTTAAGTTACTAATAACTCTAGTCTAGAATCATCATGTACTACAAGTCATAAAAAACATTGTAAGAATTTAATTCCACGATATGAACGTAAAAAAGCATGATCGTATCATGTAAAAGTCCTTATTCATGAAAAAGGGTTTAGTACCTACATAATTCATTAAGGTTTTATGTAAATTACCTGAAATACGACAGTGAATGTTAAATGTATTAGAACAAATCATGCTGACTACCAGCTACCACCTCCTTCTTAAATTATGCCTATACGAATCGTTTGATAATCATGAATTTCACAGTCCCTCCCACCAATAATGAATTACAAATATAGATTGTCTTAACTGTAGAATGTCTAAAATAATATCTGTCATAAATTAATAATAATTGCCTACTCCTTATAATTTAGGTGAAGTATATCGCGCGTTTTTGGTGATTTTTATTCTAGCAACATAATTTTTAGCAATATACTACTTAAGTTAATATTACATAAAATTACTTATATTTCTTAGATCCTAATTAGTATGCGAGAGAGCACCATACTGCAACCTATCTTTTACGTCGCTTACGTAGGTTATTATCTTTTTTTAATATGGCAAACGCTTATTTTTAAAACATTTTTATATGAAAATTGCGCAGAGTGAGTTGTATAAAATATACAAATAAAGTTTGTATGGATACTACAGATTTTTTAAAATAGTGCCTAAAATACATGAAACATTAACAGTTATATTTCAATAAAAAGTGAAATTATCAATTTTAATGTATAAATATGAAATTTCAATTAAAAACATTTTTCTTCGTAAAATTTCTTCGCAATGCTATTCTGCTATAAGAACAGCATGAACTCGACGACGAGCGCAACGCTGTCAGTACGTAGAGGTTTACTTAAATACATTTCAAAAGATGTTCAAGGTTTTTATTCATTAAAGCTCTGTGACTAAACAACATTGTGTTTGAGTTCGAGGATGTTTTGTAATATAATAACATGGCTGATCTCGCCTCCCTTTCATTCCGTTTGCTGTGTGAGATCATACCCATACTACAAGCAGTGTCACTTATGTTTCAGTTGCTTTCACAGCAGAACTTATTTTAGAACCTTACCCGATAAATATTAACGAATGAGCTAATACTTTTAAATTACATGTATTTGCATTTGATCTCGTTATAAGTAATCTTATAACGAAGTTATGGACTCTTAAATAATATATACCTTGCTTGTAGCTTGGATTAAAAAGAGAACTTTCATAATCAATTTAATTATTAATGTAAATATGGACGAAAACCTTTGAATTTTCATGTTGTCTGTAAAATTTTGCTTAATTTTAATGCTAAACATTGATTAAACTTGGTCTAAGTTTCTAACGTAAGGATCATAAACAGAATTATGATCCCAAAACACGTTCTTTAATTAAACTTTGTTTATTTAACTATGTTGTTTATGATTTTTTATTAATAAAAAAGTCATAATAACTTTATAATTAAACTAATATGATATCATACCTCCAGTTAAGTTGACAGCCAAAAGAATGCAGTTAAAACGACAATGCGAAGACATAACTAAAGAGCTAGAAACCGCCAGAGAAAACCGGAACCGACTCACAGATTTATTGAAGCAAGATGAGAAATACATCGACCAGCTAATGTAAGTTAAATGTTTCTTAAATCGTTGAACCATTTGAAACTGAACTTGGATTCTAGTATATTCTTAAACGCTTAAGGAACTTGCCTACCTTTCCCTAAATACATCAATTACTATTTAATAATAAGGTAATTAAGGATTTTAGTAAAATCCAATGGTAACAAACTATTATTTTCTCGAATAAAACTAAAGATCTTTTGTTTATTTCTTATCTTAGTTATTTATATTGCATTATAAATTTGATTTGATATAAAGTTTTCTAGGCGTGGAATTATTCAAAGATAAAATTTTTGAAATGGAAGGAAAGAAAAGATAAATTTTAATCGATAACAAAATAAATATTCTTATCGCCTTACAAACAATCTCACATCCGTTTAGATTGACTGGTAGAGACAAAATGCCTTCGGCATTAAGTCCGCCATTTGTGTTATATTTGATGCAGTATAGACTAAGTAAAATAATCTTTTACGTACTATGTAACTATTTCATTGCAGTGTATTAGCTAATTGGACGCTATCTTATTGCATTGCAAATCGTTAAGAAAATTGCCTATAGGTTTGGTTCAAGTTACATCATTTAGATCTCATCTCGTCGTAAATGTCACCCATTACTCGCAAAACCCTTGAATATTATTTTGGGTAGTATAGCCGAATACTAAAGGGTATCTTTTGTTGAAGTCTTGTCCGTGTCTCTTTCGTTGAAATGTTTTAAGTGGTGTATTTAGACCATACAGAACATTCTCATTTGTTGTCAATGAATAACACATTTCTAAGCAGTTCGTATTTGTGGAATAATAAATATTAATTAATAGCAGATACTGATAATACTGTGTAAGACTTTAACAACATTTTAAATGGCAGTTGTACCAAAATTAAACACTAGTACATTTACCAACGCAACCCTTCAATGTATGATGTTATAACAGGTGATATTCTACATAGGTTAAATTTATGTTTTGAAATAATAATTAAAAATTATTATGTTCTTAATTTCAGTGGAAATTATGAAGATTCGTTGCGCAAAAAAGCAGATCGTTTCAGGGAAACGAGCTCTTTTTATGTAAGTTTACAGACGTTTATTTATGATCTCAATTTAGCTTCCATGTTGTTTGTTTAAAAGAGTTCTCTTAAATTTATACCTATATGAATAACGCAGGTATATGTTGGCTAACAGCAACAGCAGTAACAGCAATCATTTTGGCTAGTATTTTATTATCATCTTGTTACTTAAAAATCTCGTAATATATAAAATATTTAATGAACAATACTATTTATTCTTTAACTTTAACAATAGCGAGACATAAAATGGTTGTTCATAGAAAAGTCACATTTAAATACAAATCACATTGAAATATATTTTTCCGTGTATTAGAATGAAGACCTAATGAGATTGGAGATAGAAAAAGTTAACAATACAATAAATGAGCTACAAGCAGATAAGACGAATCGTGAGAAAGTCGTAGAAAATTTAAAAGTCAAGCTGAATAGCCTCGAACCAGACGTGCCTGAAGATCTGTTGAAAATATTGTAAGTCATCATTACGCTATCAGGCTCATAATTCATACTTTTTTATTATGCAAAATCGATTCATTATTTACAGTTCAAGCTTATATATTACAAGCCACTGATTCATAACAAATTCTACTCCCTGCTAATGAATGGTTCTGGCTATTTATATCTTCCCACCACTAACGTTGTGGCTATTTGGCTCCCATAAACTTCGTTATTCTTATCTACATAAGAGTAGCTCAGTGGCGTAGTGGTTAAGCGCCGCGGCCCGCGATCGTTGTCGTTAAGCAACTTTCGCAGGGGTCGGTCACGGGATGGGTGACCAAAAAATTATTATCACGAGCTACTCCGTGCTTCGGAAGGCACGTTAAGCCGTTGGTCTTGGCTGCATTTGCAGTCGTTAATACCCTCCCATCCGCATTGGGCCCGCGTGGAGGGTTATGGCCCATCCTCATTAACAATCCATAAGGAAGGCCCGAGCCCCTGCAGTGGGGACGTAAAAGGGCTGATGATGATGATCTACATAAAGGTGGTTTTTACATAACACCTCATAGACTGAAAATCGCGTTTGTCGTTTGACCAGAGCAACTCGATTAGCTCGAATATTTATATTTTAGCCATACGTTCTTGATCGTTCAACTTAGTAAGTGGGTCTCTCGAGCGAAGCAGTTTATAGGCATACATGCCCTCTTTATTCCACATCAAAAGTTTAACATTACAATAATAGGTTAGTTACAAGCAAAGGTGAGCTTATCTCTCTAAGATATATCTGCATACTAAAGAAGAGAAGTGTGGAAGAGTGATTGGCAAGTGAATAATTGTGAAATTTAATCATAAATACATAGCTATCATATAAAATATAAATAAACAATAATATACAGTACGTACTTATTAAATTTATTATAAATACCTAATCTAGCATAATGTTCTTTTTTATAATCTATATATATAAAAATGAATCGCAAAATGTGTTGGTAAGCGCATAACTCAACAACGCCTCGACCAATTTGGCCAAATCTTTTTTTTAAATGTTCGTTGAAGTTCAAGGATGGTTTTTACGGCGAGAAAAATTAGAATTATTGCTGGAAAAACCCTAAAAATAGCCCTTTTCTTTTTCCCATACAAATGATTTGTAACTAAAACGTAGTCAATTTGAGCTTTATTGCTATGGTATAAAGTTCATATTAAATTACAAGCACTCACTGTTGTCTAAGCAATGTAGGTGTGTTCCTAACGTCAAAGATCATATCTATCAAAACAATGTGCGTGTGTGCGTTGGAGCACAGAATACATAGTTGGAGGAGTTTAATGTCGCGTTCCGAAACTCGCGTTTCTTTTGTATTAGTTTCGGCACGCGAGATAAAATGCATCAGTTTCCACGTCATTACATGTATTGCCGGAACATTGATGAAAATACGCTCTGTAGTAGCAAAGCTGTTGGGTCCTAGATAGCTCATTGGTTAGAGCAGTCCCTGGATCGCGAATGGGTTCGAGTCCCATTCCGGGGTACAGGTAGATGGATTCTTCCAGCATTTTTCCTTGAGAATGTTTATTTAATTTTTTAATTCGAATAGTTTACTTTTATAATGCTGTTGTGTGTAATGTGTTTTTATGATCATAAAAATCTCTTTTTTCTATATTTAATACTATTACTATTAATACATTGCAATAATAATTATGATTCACATGATTAACAATAAAGCGATTACTTACTTTTAAATCCTTATATATGTTTTATTTAATTATTTTTTATTCACAACGCCCTATCACCAGGGTGACGGTTCTGTTCAGGAGAATTTTTTTAAATACGTAGGCAAAAAAGCTGCCACATTACAAATCTTTTTGACAGGACGAAGTCTGTCGGGTCAGCTAGTATCAAAAAAGAACATTATGCTAGACACTTTCAAGCATAATGTTCCGCCTTGAGTTGAATTTTGAAAGAGATAATACTTGTAGGAAAGCAACTCAGAAACTTAATTAATGGAAGTTTGTTACATAGTTGAGTTTCTACCTGAATTTATTTGAAAAGAAAATTATATTTCAGTCCAATTACCTGATTGCTTAATAGCATTTCTAAATGAATGAGTAAATAAAAAATATAAGCACACCTAAGTATCTAATAAATGGGAAATTATAAAAACGAGACTCGTATAAATATTAGTTTGTAACTACTCACTTACAGGTATTTATAGTTAAACTAGCTGTTTTCCCGCTACTTCGAACGCGTAAATTATAACCAATGTCAACCCCGTATGATGTAGCTACGCGTTGATGAAAGAATTTTCTAAAATCAGTCCAGTAGTCTCTGAACATATTATTCTTATGCTTCGGCAAATAAACAATCAAATCTTTTCTTACAGATAACTTATAGACATCTCTCAGAATCTGTAATTTGACTTTACGACAAACTACTGCAGATAAATCATTAGGAGGTTCTTAGCAATATACCTACTCATTTATTTTTTCTGCCAAATGAACTTCGAGCGTTGTTTTCCTATGAGCTATTTATATCAGTTGTTTTCTTCCAATCGAAATAAATATTGAAACTTTTCCAAATATGATAAGTATTTATTTGTTCTTTACAGAGGAAAAATAGAGTTGGAAGAGAAGATTATTGAGATCGCAAAGAAATACGAAGCCTTGTGTGATAGGCAAAAACAACTCTTTCAAAAATAAATAGCTATTGTTTTATAATCTATGTTAGTTCAAGAGCCACATAAAGCTACCTTTCTAGAAGAGAGAATATTGATTAATTTGTTCTTTATAATAAAACTATAATATAACATTTATGTTACATTATTTTATATACAATAATATAAAAACGTATACTAATAATAATATGAAATATATTTTAAATTAATAACAGAATACCAAAAGCAAGCCAAATAAAATTGACTACACTTGATTTCGAATATCAGATATTCAATATTCCATTTACACGAAATACCATAAAGTCAAATATGTATGTAACTACATAAAGTAACTACAAATCCATAGAATTTGTTACCTTAATATATATTAATCCTTTAATCTTTTGCTACCACTTTGTGCTACTAGGAAAAGATCAAGTGAATCAAATATGTTTCCATTTAATATATATATCGTATTTGATCAATTTTTCGTTCACAAAGCTATATTAGAAAATATTCTCGATTAAAAATAATTAAATATCCACCTAGCGCTGGCGGATTTTTAAATATTTTATTAAGAATATATTTTCATAGTTATACAGAGATATTTGAGACGGTACAGAGGCTTTACTTTAACAGTATTTTTTGGTACTTACATGGAATAGAATCAATAGGCATTAAGAAATGAATATGACAGCCTTTTTTGCTTGCTTTTTTTCCAAAATCAAAAGCAGTTCAAAATAAAGTTTTAGTGTAACTATAACGGTCAAGATATCTGCGGTACAGTCTAAAAACTGGATCCTCTATATTTTATTGTTCCGACTGGCATAATTAATAATTAAAATTCTTTAGCTATTTCGCAATGCATACTTAAAATATCAATCAAAGTTGAAAAATGTAATAGAAGATAAATGACAGTAAATTAAAGTTATCATACATTTCGCGAAAATAATATCATGAAAATGTTCTTACTTGGTAATTATTTGTGAATTGTTTATTTACGCTCTTAATATTACCATCTCATAAATCCACGAAGGAAAAAAGTAGCTACAAAAACGTGCAACGTCATCGCAACGAACAGATCCTCCTTTTCCAACTAACAATACAGAAAGGGAAGTTACAAGTTGCATTTAATTTGGCCACCAGCCAGTTTGACCACATAATCACATTTCCTTCGCTACAGTATCTTCTTCGGTCTACACAGACACCGGAAAACGGAAATATTCTGCCAAGACAGTGGCATAAATGGACGAACGAACAACAAGAAACAAGTGATTATTTTTATTTTATTGGATTCCACAATGTAGTATTACATAATAAACAAAATCCATTTTCTAAACGACTAATCACGTGCCTAAAAATATTCGTCAGTATCGAGGAACTTTGTATCTATTTCAACAACATTAAATTCTATTTAGAAGAAGTTTGGAAATTAACCAAATTATCGTGCAATAAGTGCTTTTATATTTAACAATAGGTTGGGTATTTATTATAAGTTTGTATGTATTTTATGGTTGTAAGTTTTTACACGACTGCCCAAAAAAGGAGTCCATTGTGTTTAGGGTTAATGTATGTAAGTTTTTTTATTCCACCATAACTTTAAACAAAATTCTAAGACATTGGCAAATGTCTACTCAGCTTTGAATAAAAATAAAAAATACATCATATCTTATTTGAAAGTGAACAATTTTTCCTGGAAATCCGAGTATTTGATGTGATGTTCACGGGTATTTAAATAGAACATTGTGATTTTTTTAAAATATTTTGTGTTACATTTTTATATATTTTTCCTAAAAATTGATTAAAGCGAATCAATTTTTATTCGCCCGATCGATAGAGCTGTTCCATACATACTAAAAGATGTATGGAATGCAGCTCAATGATTTTTAAAGTTTATGTCTGTCTGTTAATATGTATCTATGAAACTATTGAACGGATATTTATAATTCCTTTTCTATATTGAAGCTCCTGTACACCGTTGAGGCTATAATTAATTTCGGTTACCATTCTCAATAATATGGAACCCTAAGAGACCGACGAAACGTTATGAGGTACAGAAATGACGCCATAGCAAAAAATGTTCCACACGATGATCATATTTTGTTGCGTTATTAAAATGAAATATTTGAAACATCTGATGTGGAACTTTAAGAGTCCGCTGCACTATAACTATACACGGAAAGATGTCAAGAGAAGTTGTTTAAAGTAATGAGGATATTCTGATGACTTATGAAAATCGAAGATCTAAAACTCTATATAGACCACTAACACTACAACATATGCAGGAATGAGGTTTTAGCAAAAAGTGTTTGGTCCGATGTATATTTTCTGTTGCAAGATTAAAATTCAAATATTGGGAACATCTGATGTGGAACTCTAAGTTCACCATCACTATAACATTTAAAGGAATGACGAATTAGTGAAAGTCGTTGAGTCTGATGAGAATTTACTGCTGACTTTATCGCCATCAGCTTATAAGTTTTTACATATTTCACATTGCTGCTCTAGGTAGAGTTTATAGAGTTTATCCCAATAATGGAGAATGTTAGTTTTTGCGCATGTGGTTCTATATATTTCGAGGACTAATTTACTTAATTTATTATTATGAAAACTGTTGATGATGATTAAGCATCCTACTAATCAAGGAACTTGCATCGCTCTTCTTAAAGATGACCAATACTATGAATACATTCTTAAAAAAGCATGGTTAGTCAGTCTCCGTTCCTTACGTAAATTGTCCGCAATAATTTTAGTATTTTGTGATCTTTTAGGTCACTTTAAAAATATGGGAAAAGTATGAAAATTTATCTGAAAACATTTTACGAAACTTCTGAGGAACAACGTGCAGGATGCAATCACTCCAACCGACGACAAAGTGTTAAATAATTCATTTTGTTTAATAAAAGAAACTGTTTCAAGAAAGAAAAAAACCTTGTGATTGGTGACAAATCTTTCGATGATTACGGTCTATATGAACCACCAACATCTTGCTGAGACTAATCACCGTTCTTGCTGACCTAATCAGAATTAGTCTCAGTAGTAAATATTTCTAAAAGACAGTATTTCAAATTTTACTATTGATCAAAGGGAAATATATAACAAAATTATCCACATCGTATCTAATGATGTAGTAAAGTTATTTTTCTAAAATGTCTCTGGTACACTTAACAAACATATTACAAGAAGAATCTTGACTGAAATTAGGCTACAAAATAAGATGCGCAGTAGCAACTTCAGGGATTGCTGTTAAATTGCTTCCTGGTGTTAAGACGGTACACACCATGTTCAAAATCCACTAACCTGTTCTATGACGCGAAATTGTGATAAAACCAGTACATAATTGGTGTCTTGGTGTTCAAAGGAAGAATTAATTTAGTCCATATTTGGAGATCTGAATTCTAATAAAAAAAGAAATATTTTGGTTATATGACCGCACGGTATTAACTCCCCAAAATGTCTAAGCAGCCGATATTAACTAAAAAAATGTTGCGGGTGAAGTGGTTTTCAATTCTTTTAATAAGTATCTTGTTACAAATTACCGGATTTCATTTTTATATACACTTACAAGTGGCCTACCCGCTCACAAAGTCCAGTTCAAAATCGGGGTGCCCATAATGCGAATAACCTTTTTCCACCGAAATTATACAATAGAACCAGGCTTAAGATTATGACTTCATCATCATCATCATCACCAGCCCTTTTACGTCCCCACTGCAGGGGCTCAGGCCTTAGCAGAAGAATATTAACGAAGCAGATTTTCTGACTGGCTGCGGTAGTTACAGGTAAAATTGTGTCTTATACCGCGTGTACCTCTTATTCCCAAACATTTGTTAGTGTGGATTTAAGGCCTGGTTGACAGCACTACTGACTCGAGAATAATCCGTGGGAATTATTCTCGAGCCATTAGTGCTGAGGGTTTGTTTATATTGACCCCTGAAGGAAAAACAACCAATGTTGTGTACAAAGAGATTCTCAGTCATCGCTTAACTATTTCATGAAATCTATGCGGACGGAGTTGCGGGCTAGTCTTCGATAAATTCCTGCAAATATAAAAATTAGGTAGGTAGAGTCAAGTTATTTTATTAAACAAATTATGTGTTTTACAAATGGCAATGTTATGCAACACTGACATAAAAGTTAAAGTTAATAGACTATTCTATGAACATTTTATTTCTTATTTTATTAAAAAATATCTTCTGTTTAACAATTTCAGTGTGGTTTTGGTGGTTTATTCTTTAAACTTCTATGATTATGGACTGCCCCTTGTACGGCTCCCGCTACCGCTACACCTCGGAAGAAAGTATTCTGAAAGACAAACATTATTATTAAATATCACCAATTTTTGTAATTTCGTTGATAATTACTATATGAAAAAACAAATGTCTGTAAAAAAAGATTAAATTTTAATTACACCACCAGCCTATCTAGTTAAGAGGGCACGCACACATAAAATAATAAACTTTCAAATGTATTTGAACAGATAAATAACGCCGAAATAAGCAATATTCAAGAATAATAAAATTCAATCATATTTATAAGGGCATTTGACACATCTAAAATGGAAGTTTACAATTTTTCCATGTCTTCCTATAATTATACCATTTTTAAAGAGAACATTAATATATATGTAAAACTTTGACAATAATCGTAATAGTTAAAGTTGACTGTATACCCCGTCATAAGTAAAAAATTTGTAGACATCAAAAAATCAATAATAATAATAACTTAAAGTTCCCAAGCTATGATAATTTATTTCAATAAATTTAATTTCAATAAGCACACACCAATCCATCTTTTAGTTTCGTCGACCATGGTTTTTTTGTCGTCGTAGAAGTAAATGAGAGTCCGGACATCGGCGGTGGTATATTAGCGGCAGATACGAATGCCAACTGTGAACATATCGACAAAACGAGTAATAAAATTACAATTTTCATATTGATCACTCCTTTTATACAGTACAATCGTAACTAAATGACGGTCCAACGTGAAACCACTACGCTTTTATATATAGATGGACAGGAAAACATTGTCGGATCCACTTACTCT